TGCTCTTTCTATGTACTTTCCGTGGCCTCAAATCATTCTGCAGCGTTAAAATAATATTACAAATACAAAATTATCTATGCATGTTTCTCTCTCTCTCTTCCTCTCTGTAAAAAGTATTTAGTTATTATGCCTAGTTAATCCATATTAATTACTTTTTTTTTGGACATTTCTCACAGACTAAGTAGGTTAGTTTCAAACAGGGTTAATCCTCCAAATCTCTACTAAGAGCTAATTTTAAAAAAAACCTTTTAGAAATGTAATATATTAATACAGCAAATAAGAGGGGGGTGGGTTGGCAGACAATACCAGATATGCAGTATTTTTGGGTTGTCTTTCCCAGGTTGGGTACACCTGTGTCTAAAATAGCAGCATGGGTGGAGATTGTAACATGGGAAGAAAAGGGGTTGCTTTCTTTTTTTCTTCTTCACAGCTGCCTGCAAAAAAAAGGACTCTGGTATGCTGAGGCAGTTCCTGCTTTTCAGCATGCCTGTGGCTGTCTTATAAATACGTACAAATGTGTACAAATAGTTCCAGTCACATGGTTTCAAAGAAAGGAACGGCAAATTGTAGAGGCATGCCCGTGGGCTTAAATGCAAAGGCTGGTGCAAAGACCCTAGTCCTCATGTCAAGACTACTGAAACTAAGCCTTTTTCACGAGGCCTCAGGCTTTTAACTATCTGTGGCCTTTTTGCATGGATGGGACATTTTAATGTTGTTCTTTTTTAAAAAAATAAATAAATCCTGGTTTTAATGTATGTATGATAGTTTGTTTTGTGTTCAAATGTTTTTATGTTGCCCTAATGTTTTGTGAAAGGGTGTGTGTGTGTGTGTGTGTGTGTGTGTGTGTGTGTGTGTATGTATCCCTTTCCTCCTGGCCTCTGAGTCCTTCCAGACACCTCCATTTGCTGGAGCTTGGAAGCAGCATTTAATGTTCTATGTGAGGTTCTCTCTGGTGCTGGTAGTCTGCCAGGGAAGTGGGAAAGAGAAGAGAAGAGGGAGCTTTGGCTGACTCTTTGATGTACATCATTCTAAGGAGCCTGGGGCCTGTGCCACAACCGCTCCAATGTCTATATGTGAGTTTGTAGCCATGGTTACCGCTGCTGGGCCCTTGCAGGACTCATCTGCTGGCTTCATGTGTACGTGCTATTCTGTCCCCTGGAGCTGAAGATTAGGTAGAGGCTGGTGTTGAAGTTTGGGTGCGTGGTTTTGTTCAGTGTGAGGGGGAAATACTATTTTTTCACTCGTTTCAGCTGACGGTGGATAGATCCTATATTAGCACCCCCACACAGAATCCACATTATTAATAGTAATGGGTTGCCAATTTAGAGGTGGAGGAAAAGATATTTTAAATACATTTTGTCTCTCACCATGAGCATGCTTCAGTAAGGTCTGTGGTGACATTTCTCATATTAGGCTGCCTGAAGACCAAAGGCGCTGGGGCAGGCATGGCCAAACTTGGCCCTCCAGATGTTTTGGGACTACAACTCCCATCATCCCTAGCTAACAGGACCAGTGGTCAAGGATGATGGGAATTGTAGTCCCAAAACATCTGGAGGGCCAAGTTTGGCCATGCCTGCCTAGGGGGAATGTGGCTAGGGTCTGCATATTGGCAGTGGACAACTCCAAACTCCAAACACACAGTTGATCATGACTACATGGCTATATTTCTATGGAACAGAGGAGCAGCATATGAAATAGTGGGAAGGGTACGTATGGCTAGATTAAGAATCCAGGGGGGAGGGGGAGTTCAGGTTCCCCACATATGCTCTGCACTAAAGCATTTCAACCATGGTAGTTGTTTTAAAAATGTGCTCTAAGCGGTTATAGTCATTTTACAAGCTTTCATATAATGGTGTGGTGCATTTTAGTGTGCCGCAATTGTAAAAGGCTGGAAGGCAAGTGATGTCTACTTTACAGCCCTAAGTATAACATTGTTAGGAGTGGGGCAGGGGTAGGCTTCATGTCTGAGACCTTTCAAAGTCCTGGATCCAGTGTGCATTCCATTCCTGGAACAGCCAGGCTAGCTTCCTGCCTGGTGAGGTAATGGTCCTCTTAAGTATGGGCCATTAAGGTAATGAACGAAATGCCTCTGTGCCAGCTAGCAAATGGGTGCACCCCCTCAGTCACTCAATTCACTGGTAGTGAGAAAGACAAAGGCCAGAGTTGGGAGTTGTGTGTGCAAGCTAGAAGCGGCCAAGAGACACATGCTGTGCGCCCAATTTCTGTTGGGATCCAAGGCTGTGGCTATGGGAGAAGACCCTCTTGGGGTGTTAATGCTGTGAGCCCCTCCATCGTAGGCTTAGGTTGTATATAGGTGTAAAATAAACCATATATCATAAAGACACCAGCGTCACCACTGTGCCTCATTCAGAAGGGAACGAAACCTTGGGTAAGCGCCTAGAATCTTGCCCTGCTCGGAGACTGGGGTGGCGTGCAACATTATATTGGTCTGTACACTGGTCCAAAAAGCAGCAGGAGGCTTCTGATGTTGGTAGAAACCATCTGGCCTACTAAATTAGAACAAAGCTCAGCCTCAATATTTATGTTTTGCAATGGCCCTTGTTATGTTCTTGCTTGTTTTGAAGCTATATAACTCAGTTGTTACTGAGATGGCCTAATACAGGGTTTCCCAAACTTGGGTATCCATCTGTTTTTGGACTACAATCCCCATCATACCTGACCACTGGTCCTGCTAGCTAGGGATGGTGGGAGCTGTAGTCTCAAAAAACAGCTGGAGACCCAAGTTTGGGAAACTCTGGCCTAGTACGTGTGTGGAGAACCCTTTGGGCCTACAGCTGTTGTTGAACTACAACTCCCAAGAAAGAGGCATTATCACATTTCAGCCAGGTAACAGCACTTGAAATGAACGCAAATTGGAGCTGGTTAGGGATGTCACCTGGAGAGAGGAGGTCTGGATCCTGGGGAGAATCCTGAGGCTGGGACTAGACCTGAGGCCAAGACCAAACTACAGTGTACCTCAGGTTACATACGCTTCAGGTTACAGACGCCGCTAACCCAGAAATAGTACCTCAGGTTAAGAACTTTGCTTCAGGATGAGAACAGAAATCATGCTCCGGCGGCACGGCAGCAGCAGGAGGCCCCATTAGCTAAAGTGGTGCTTCAGGTTAAGAACAGTTTCAGGTTAAGAACGGACCTCCGGAACAAATTAAGTACATAACCAGAGGTACCACTGTATAGGGAAGCATGCCTTCTCCGTTAACATATTAAATCAAATGTGACTTTTCCAAAATGTGAATAAAGAGAATGTGTTTGTAATGGGAAGCGTAGTTGTTCGTAACTTGGCAAAATGCTTCTTCCTGAGGGGTTTGCAATTCGTATTCCATGGACCGCCAACAGTCTCCAGCTCATTTGCCGATGGTTCTCCAAGGACAGCTCTTGCCATTTCATCTTGGCTTCTCTACTGTGTTTCCACCAGTTAAATCCTATTAAAATGCAACAAAAATGTGTTCTAAATTCTCTCAACAGATCTTTGTGGTATAAGGAAGCTGCCTTGCAGGGTTTTTATTATTATTCTTGAATTGCCTTGTCAGCGTGATGGAGGTAACCACATGTCATAAATGGGAAAGTGCTCCACAAACTAATCTAATTATTATTATTATTTTTTGCAGTACAGTTCCACTAGACAAAAGAGGAGGGAGAAGCCCCCACTCTGCCGAAACTCTTTGCTTTAGACATTCGCTAAACGCTGCTGGAATCAGTGCCTGATTCCAATTTATGATATGGAAGCTGTTCCCATAAATAGTTAACATTTGGCTTGAGTTTGGAGGCTGATTAGAAACATTTACAGTGTTTCAGACAAAATTTCCTGTGTTTCGGTTTTCTTTGTGTTTCACTGCCAGCTTTTGCTTCTGTATTAAATGAACCTGAATATATTACTTTAGGCTATATCCTGCATTTTAGATCCCCTCCTGCCACATTTACTCCCTCCCCCCTCCCCACCCCCCGGTCCTCTTTGGCATTCTGAAGAGAAAAACAAATCATAGAAGAACAGCTACCCTCTGCATACTTGCTTTGATATCACTTGCTTTTAAATAAATGGGGCTTACTTTGAAGTCAACATATGCTGGAGACAGGCAATAGGCTTTTGTTTTTAAGTTTTGACTCTCACATGATACAGTAGGGATACCCAACCTGGCGCCTTCCTAACATTGCTGGACTAAAACTCCCATAATTCCTGGCCACTGGCTATGCTTGTTGGGACTGATGGGAACTGCAGTGTACAACGTCTGAAAGGCTCCACATTACCATCTATGGTAATTGAGTGTTTTTTGGCGGGGCAGGGGGCTTCAGGGGGGATTGTGCTTCAAACTAAAGCTATACAAGGAGAAATGATTTCAATAAAAACAGAGCTCAGTGTCCCAAATTTGTAAGGATAAAAAATGAATTACAGATAAATACTTTTACTGTTCAATCCTATCTACTTCTCCTCAGAACTCCCATTTAGTCCGAAATACTGTAAGTGTATTTATGGTATTGCACTGTTATTTACTTGTTAGCCTCCTGGGCATAATACAATAATGACTTGTTTTATAACATAAAAATGAAAGGTCTCAATATCTTTTGGAGAATTTTAGTAGAATCAATTAAATTAAAGATGGGAACTCCCCAAAGCCATCTGAGTATGAAGGATTGAAAGTTCCTTTGATTTGCTAAGAGATCTCCTCAATTTCCCATACTTTACTCAATCAACCGTTAATCTGGGGTGAATTTTACACCACCATTGTGATGCTATTGGAAATATGAAGGTGCTAGTAAACAACAAAAACTGTTTCTCTCCTTCTAGTGGGAACCAGCTCTGAGTTTAGGCTGTCCAATAATACAGCAGCTGGATCCAAAGAAATGGGGTATCTGCTTACATACTGCACATACTGGAGAATATATTGCATTTTTGCAATTTAGGGAGAGTTCACAGCTGCAAAAACCGATAACGCTTGCAGCTCAGTGTTTAACTTTTATTATATCTTGGAGGGGAAAAAAGCGTACGTTTAAAAACCTGAAACACACAATGGACTTCACAAAAACATTTTTTTAAAAAGTTTATATTTGCACTGCTCTTGTCTGGAAGGCACTGTCTCCTAGGGTTGGTGAGTCTGCGGAGAAGACAGGACTGTTTGGTTGTAGAGTGAGGAATTTCCAAGGAAGCAGTATGGCATTTCCTGCCCATGGCTACAATCCTGGGGATGCAGGACAGTCATAACGAAGCCAACTATCATCACCAGCACCCCAATGGTAAGGATCAGGGCAGAGAGAAGGTTGTCTGAATGAGTCCATCGCTCCTCGGAGAACCTCAAGTAGCAGGCGGCAGGCAGGATGAAGACCAGTGGAGTAGCACTGAGCACCCCCTGCAAGCAGGAAGTAAAACACCAAATATGCATTTGTGGTGTGTTGCAGAGGCACGCTCCTGAAATTAATTCTATGCAGAGTTTAGAAGGAATGGGGTGGAAATCACAACGAGGAACCAGTGAACTTAAGGAACTTGTTCATTGATTTCAGTGGGCAAGAGTTACTCTGGGCAAGACTTAGCGGTTGTCACTTACTCAAACAAAATAAAAACAGGCATCTGCAAGACTCCTCAGAATGGAGGAAGCGACTTAATAATTTTGCTTGAACAGGGGCTTTAGAATGCCCCTTCATTTTTCCCCAGGGGGAAAAACGTATTTCTGTAGCTTCAGACAAAAGTCCATCATCTTGCCACAAAGAAGCACAGCACCAAATCTCTTCCTTAAGCATATCCTATTAACACAATAACAATTTGAGGAAACAGTCTATTTCACTAAGCCAAAACAAAACAAAAAATTAGTAGTTGAAAAATCCCCGTGCACTTACATTTAGCTCTAAAACTATTCCCAGGCAATCATACACTAATGATACACTTGTCGCTAAAGCAATGACGATGACTGTCAGAGCAACGTGGCAAATGGTTGTAAGGTTTCCATCGAAAAACACATTTGCGAGGACCTGAAACAGAAGCACAGTTCTAAGTACTGTTATGATGTGGCATATTTTAATTTTCTCATGCTAGTGTTATGCACAAGCCAAAGGAATGGATTACAACTGAACACCAGACTTCAATGAAAGGCCCTTGCCCCCAAGGCACCCAGGTTCACATAATTATTTATTTTTAAAAGCGTTTCCAGAGTAACACATAGCTGCTTTTAAATTGGCCAAGTATGAATTTTTTTGTACAGGTGGAAAAATAGATCAATATTTAGATTATGGACTGTTTTTTGTTTCATTTTCATTTAAAAATAAAATAAAAACAAACCTAGGCAGAGGGTTAAGGATCCAGTATACATCAGGACAAAACTGAGGTCATGTACTTCCAAAAAGAAAACAAACATTGTCTTTGTCTGTCAATTAATCTACGTTCTGAACCGCTTCGAGATCTATGGGTATGGGGTGATATACAAATTTACTAAACCAATAATCAAATAAATCTTACATTTCCATGAGCGTATGCTTATTCCAGCATTCTATAAAAAGGATGCAAACATTTCAGAGAACGTTTGTTGGATTTAGTTCCATCCTATCATATCCTACAATAAGTGATTTTGTACATAATAGTAATACATCAGAATCCTTGGTTACATATGCTATACCTTCTCCACTGAGCCAGACAGCACTTGTTGCTTCCCATTTTCAGTCACTAGTATATGTGATGCTATTAACTTAATAATATGGCTACCATCTTTTTTGAGCAACCACCCTCTGCACACAATGCCATAAAGCAATGGAAATTCCAGGGCATTACATTTTGGGAAAACTAAGATGGCGGCTAACCCTTCAGTCACCCAGAATGAATGAATGTGTCACCGAAAGAAGTGGCCCCCAGCAATTGCCCAAGAAGACTGGGTGGTGTCACTGAGTCTGCTTGCATTGCAGCCATTGCTTAAACTAAGGAATATTCAGTCTGATTAGGTTTCTGTCTAATATGTCCTATTGTCTATTTCAGCCAAGGATGTCAATAAGTGGACTGAAATGAATTCTGCAAGAGGATTCATCGCATCTGATTTCTTATTATGGCAACACAACATAATTGTAATTTCCGTAGCAGCAGTGTAGAAAACATTAATTTGATGGAACTGTGTTCTAAAACTTCATCCTTGGGCACTTATCACAGCTCACTGCATTGGGGGCTTCAAAAATTAATGGTGACTCTCTGCAATCTAAGACACAGGTGCGATTAACACTCACCTCTCTGGTAACAAAGCATTCTATTGGAAACGTTAAGATGACAGTGATTCCATAGCAAAACCTCCCAAACGTGGCAAGGTCATCATCTCGGCAATAGTTCTCAAATATGTCTCCTGAAGAAGTGGCAGACAATGAAATTAACTTTGTAATGTGCAAGAGAAAACAGAAATTGTGAATACAGACCCAAGCATTCATGAGAACTTTTAAATTTGTTCTCAGTTAAATTCCGATAGTTCCAAAGAACAAACCTAGACAGCCACAAGTACTGGCTGGATTCCAAAGAGCATCTCTAGGCAGGCTTTTCTTTCTTTCTTTCTTTCTTTCTTTCTTTCCTTCCTTCCTTCCTTCCTTCCTTCCTTCCTTCCTTCCTTATCAAATCACAATGTGTTTGGGAAATCCCCTCTGGTTCAATAGTGGTTTGCCACGAGACACGGTGAACTTCTATTTTTGAAACATATGCCTTTGGTGTATGGCCCTAGCAGCACGGACCATTTCTGCTGTGATCACTCTACAGAATTCGTTCTTAGCTATGAATGCGAGGGGCACTGCGTATTTTCTGCTATTGTGGTTTTTTGGGTGTGAGTGTGTGTGTGAATCATTTCCAAAAACTAAATCTTGTAGCCGAGCTTGTGCTCAGCATCCTTTGCACACCAAGGTTGCTTTTACTGTAGGAGTATTCCTGGCATCTGAATTGGGGTCAGGGTGCAAGGTGCTTTCAAGATGAATAAAAACGCATGGTCGAAGCAGACAGATTTCCTCTGTAGCTGTTATTCTTGTGACAAGAACAATCACTTAAGGAAGAGCAGGGCAAGGAATCTGGGCGCACACACTTCCCATGCCGCAGGATCAAAGCTGGAAGGCTTCAAATATGCAACAACCTCTGAAGCGTTTTCTATGTATAGGAGTGCTTACGGGATTGTTAACTTAGGAACTTTGGAATGTTACCTTAGGGGTTTTCACACTCTGCGCACAGAACTATAATAGACTGCATGTGGCGGCTATAGCCAAGGGCCTGGGGTGTGGCACAAGTGAAGAACTGTAGCCATTGTCCGCATGTCCTGCTTGAAGGCTTCCCAAGAGGCACCTGCCTGGCTATGGTGGAAAACAGGATGCTGGGCTCATGGGCATTTGGTCTGATCCAGCAGGGCTCTTACGAATTATGTTAGCTCTATGCCCAACTCCACCTCTCCCCCATCTCATGTGCAAGTCTTCCAAGAGGCAGATTCCCCCATTCAAGGTTCTCTGCAGACATGGAAGTAAATAGATTGAGAAGGACTGGTTCTGTGTGATCTTCTACTCCAGGAGCAGGCATCATCCTGTAACCTTCCAGGTGTGTCCAACTCCCATCAACCCTAGCCAGGATAGCCAATGGTCAGGGATGACTGGAGTTGTAGTCCAGCAACATCATGGGAGGCCCACAGGTTCCTCATTTCTGTTCTACTCTTCATCTGGTACAAGCTGGATTGACTCGGCTGGTAGAGTACGAGCCTCTCAGGCTCAGGGTCGTGGGTTCAAGCCCTATGTTGGGCAAAAGATTCCTGCATTGGCATGGCACCAAAGAACATTGTTTTACAGAATTCCTCATGCTCCTGCAGCCTGGCAATATCATGTTTCTGTTTGTTCAAGAGGTTTTTCAAGGAGAAGAGTATCCTTGGGCTTTCGCCTGGTTTGCTCTCACCTCGTCCAAGGAATGGAATTGACCTTTCTGTGAGTGGAATACACCTTCCATATGCAAAGGGACAACTTCAGCACCAGTTCATAATCATTAGCATTATACTTGCTCTTTAGAGCAATATACACTACTTCAAGTTCAGGATTATCTTTGGAGAATCTTCAGTATATAAGCCTGAGGTGTGGATATATAAGAAGCCATAAGGCTGGAGTGGGGAACCTCATGCTCAGGGGTCAAATATGGTCACAGCTGGTCTTCAGTCACATCCCTCAACAGCCCTACTTCAGGTCCTCCTTGAGTGCATTTGCCTGGCTAGAATGTGCCCTTGAACTCTTGGCTGCTTGGATGGAGAGAGAGGAGTGTGCGAGTCTGTGCCAAAACTGGGCTACTGTACAGAGGTAAAGCTTACATGGGTTTCTCCACCCAATTTTGCCTCTGGTCCCACCCATCCATGTGGCCCCTGGAACCTGCTCATGTGGGGATTTTGTTCTGAAAATAGGTCCCCTAGATATTTCTTTGGGGTTTTGTTTTTTAAGTAGGTTTTGCAGATGCTGAATTCCGTACCAGTAGTAAATCCTACACAGAATACCCACAGTCTTGGGTGAGGGAATCTAGGAGAAAAGCTTAATGTGGGTGAGAACTGTCAGAAAGCCAAGGTAAACAATAACTATAACCCGGAACGGAATAACTTACCTTCTGTGTATTCTCTAAAGGTCACATACCCGCACGTAGCGAACAACAAGCTGACAAACACAGCAAACGAGACGGACACATGCGTGACCCGGGCCCAGTTGCTGAGTGTGGGTTCTTTCAGGGAGCCGTAAATTAAGAAACTATTGTGGTGGCAAATGAATGCTGGAAGAAGCACAACAGTATTTTTATTTTTAAAGCAATCATGTGCAATATACAGTATATATTACTGAGTCAACTAGATTTGGGGAAAATGTACTGAAAAGCAGAGGAAAGGCAAGCTATTGAAAACAATGGGCTTGAGCCAAAGTAAAGCACAATGGAAGAATTGTGTACATGTTTTTTATTCCCCCATTGAAATTGGTGGGAATTAAGGGCAAACTCCATAAAGAAGGCTGATCGCCGAAGAATTGATGCTTTTGAATTATGGTGCTTGAGGAGACTCTTGAGAGTCCCATGGACTGCAAGAAGATCAAACACATCCATTCTTAAGGAAATTATCCCTGAGTGCTCACTGGAAGGACAGATCGTGAAGCTGAGGCTCCAATACTTTAGCCACCTCATGAGAAGAGAAGAATCCCTGGAAAAGACCCTGATGTTGGGAAAGATTGAGGGCACAAGGAGAAGGGGACGACAGAGGACGAGATGGTTGGACAGTGTTTGCGAAGCAACAAACATGAGTCTGACCAAACTGCGGGAGGCAGTGGAAGACAGGAGTGCCTGGCATGCTCTGGTCCATGGGGTCACGAAGAGTCGGACACGACTAAACGACTAAACAACAACAAGGGCAAACTAGATGTTATGTGCAATGCTTGGCAGCTACTGAACACCGTAGATGTGCATGTAGGATCCTTCTCTAGCTTGCCTTGCAGAACTTTCCCATGTCCTGACGTCACAACATTCTGTGTGTCGCAGTTTCTACCCCACAGGATTGGCTGCTGTCGGCGGAAGGTAGGGAAAACACGTTGCGTTGCGACATCAGGACATGGGTAAGTTCCACGAGATGTTACTGGAAGTGGGAACCAAATAGCTAGGAGCAGCCATGTGTTTATAATAATGCCTACTTTTGACCCTTAAAGTGCTTGACTTTGGTTGGGTCCAATGATGGCGTTGGTACCCCCTGCTCCACTTAGTTCTACAGTGGAATAAAGTAGAGGTGCTGCTGTGGCAACCTCTGGGAGCAAGAACACCTTCCTGAACACTTTCTAAGGAATTCCCTAACTCCCAAAATCTGTACAGATGGAAATGTCTGTAGGACGTGGCATTTTTCTTCTCTCAATGCTCCCACTACAGAAATGTTGCACAGTAGGCCTGGGTGATCTATTGATATATCATTCAAAACTGGTTTGAAATCTGTAGAGTGGTATCAGTTCCATAATTCTTGACCTGGAAACATATTGCGAATCATGATGTATGTGAGTGTGCACAGGCTATACCAAAATCACCATGTGGGAAAAACCATGAAGCCAGCCAATGCTTCTACATAGCTCCATCCTTATTTCAGGCATTGTGATTTATCAGTATATTGCAATGTTTAGCTGGTGATGTTTAGCTGGAAAACGAGATTATCGCCCAGCCCTATTGCACAGTTAGAAGAAACAAATTTAACAAGCGCTTCATTAGGGAATCTCGTTAGAAGAGAAGCACAAAGGGAAAGAGGAAAATGGGAAGAACCTTCAAAGTTGGTCTGATCAGTGGAAGAAAGGATGTAATCATTCAGACCCGTTTTGCCCTAAGACAAAGATAAAGGACAAATCTGGTCAAGGGTTATCCTTGTACGTTACAAAAGCAAACCCGGATTATTCCAGCAAAGATGGTGATCAGGTGGGTAGCTCAAAGGGACAGCAAAATGGCAGTACTCCAGATGTTGTTGGAATATGGTTCCCATCATCCCTGGCCATCAGCTGTGTTGGCTGAGGATGATGGGAAATGGAGTACAACAACATCTAGACAGCCACAGGTTAACTGCCCCTGCTCGACATTTCCAACAAATCCATCAATACTTAAATTAAAACGTTCGCAAGAAAAATAAAAAACAAATCTGGAAGAGTAAGAATCTCACTAATGCAAAGGGAACCTAAGAGTGCTACATGCGCTGCAGATATTAAAGATATTAAAGAAATGCTGCCAAACACGGCACATACCAAATGACATCACCCCGATGGCTTGGGCTGCATTGGGCTTTGCAAACACCCACGGATTTTCTGTTTGGGTTCTGGAAAAGAAAGCAGCATTTGAGAGGTTGCCACTTCCACCAGGAATAACTCTTAAAAAAGAAAAGAAAAGCAAAAGCTGAAAGTCAAGAGTAGGGAACCTGTGGCTGAGCAACTGTTGGACTGACTCCAACTCCCATCAGCCCCAGCCAGCTTGGTCAGGGGTCACAGGGGCTTTCCCCCCAGCAACATGCTAGCCACTCTTGCTCTAAACAAACTGCCAGGGCAGTCACAGAACCACAGAACTGTAGAGTGGGAAGGGACCCTGAGGGTCAACTAGTCCAACACCCTGCAATGCAGGAATCTCATGTCAATTGAAGCACAAACGCTGAAGAGATTTTTTTATGAAATGGAAAGTAAAAAGGCTTCCCCCTTCCGCCCCCTTGCAGCCATCCAGCTGTTTTCTTGTTAATCCGAACTATAGCTAGCGACAGCAAAACTTTCACATCTCAGTCTACCTGCAGCTTTCTGGACTTGTCTGTGCTCTGTTTAACCTGCCTCGGGCCCCTTGAGGAGGGCAACGGGGGCACAATAGCCTAGGGTCTCATACCTTCAGTGCTGCAAATCAACGCTGACAAACTATGTTCTAACCAAGAGAGAAAATGACAGCAACAAAAGGTGCAGTGAGATAGGAGAGGCTCAATTGGATTTGTAGTCTCTGGCTCTCTCAGGCTGAAATCCTAAACACACTTATTTGAACCGACCACGGGGTTCCTTCTGAGTAAATCTGCGTACGACTGCTGCCTGGGAAAAGCCCTTCCATGCATCATTATATAATTCATTCATTCATTCATTCATTCATTCATTCATTTCATTTGTGGTGTAGTGGTTAAGAGTGGTAGACTCGTAATCTGGTGAACCGGGTTCGCTTCCCTGCTCCTCCACATGCAGCTGCTGGGTGACCTTGGGCTAGTCACACTTCTCTGAAGTCTCTCAGCCCCACTCACCTCACAGAGTGTTTGCTGTGGGGGAGGAAGGGAAAGGAGAATGTTAGCCGCTTTGAGACTCCTTCGGGTAGTGATAAAGCGGGATATCAAATCCAAACTCCTCCTCCTCCTCCTCCAAGGAGCCCAGGGTTTTCCTCCTCCCATTTTTATCGTCACAACAACCCTGTGAGGTAGGGTTAAGAGTGATTGACCAGCCCAAGGTCACTCAGCGAGCTTCATGGCTGAGTGGGGATTTGAACCCTGGTCTCCCAGGTCCTAGTCCAACACTCTAGGCACCACTACCATGCCAGCTCTATACCCATACGTGATGTTACAGGCCGAAGCCTGTGCATGGGAGAAGCAATTCAAGTTCCAAAGCAAACAGCATCACAGTTAAAGCTGTGCAATGCAAACAAATTTTTGCACAGCATGCCATTTGTGCATTTCTGAACTTAAACCACTTTGAATTTGGAAGATCAGATGAACCTCGAGAAGAGGGAGCTGGCACTGACTTTTCAAAATCTGACTGGGCCAAAAGATTCCTCCCCTCAAGTAATGCCAGCGGGGGGCAGGGGGTTAGAGAATGCCACCTTTCCATTATTCCCCTACTTCCCAAAATATACAGCGTCTTCAAATATAATTCTGCAAGTACAGTCGTACCTCGGTTCCTGAACGCCTTGGGAGTCGAATGTTCTGGGTCCCGAACGATCGAAAACCAGAAGTTGAGTGTTCCGGTTTTCGAATGTCCAGCGGGGTTTCCGTGGTTTCTGATTGGCTGCAGGAGCTTCCTGTAGCCAATCAGAAGCCATGCTTTGGAAATCGAACGTTTCGGAGGGCGAACGGACTTCCGGAACGGATTCTGTTCGACTTCCGAGGTACAACTGTACACATTTGCCTTCAAACAGGAGTGCAATAAAATGAGATAAAAACATTGCCAGAGGGCAGAACGCCCACCTTCAATAGTCAGGGGCTTCAGTCCTCATCTCTCTTGACAGGGGAGGCTGCTGCCACCTGCTGTCTCAGCCGCTGCACTTTCAGTGAACTGCAAAGCAGCAGCAGGACACAGCTGCCAGGCCAGAGAACAGCGCCCAGCTGTCAGGCTTTATCTCTGCCGCAGACAAATTAGCTTTTCCAAGCACCATTTACCTTGGAAGATGCAACTTCAGGTTTTTTACTCTTGCCAGTTCTATGAAGCTCCCCCTGCTCCAGAAAGTTTCTTTTGACATCCAATACTCTTCTCAAGTATCAATCAGAACCTGCAGAGCTCCTTAGCCACACCTTTTCTTTTATAAATAACCCACCATTTATTAATTAGCAGTTATGCTGCAGATTATTCCAGCTTTGGAAATAAATGCTAGTGCCATTTATGGCCCTCTTTACTACCTCAAAGCAACACAATGGCAAGGGACTGAAATGTGTTTCTTTGCTTATTTACAAAATGTGTGTGTGTAATTTGCAATATTCCTACCCATATACATTTCCAGGCCAGACAGGATGCCTTCTGCTCTGTTCCTGACAATGCTCCTAAGGCAATCCTTATACATGTGTACTGTACATTTCCATTGTATTTCAAGAGGAAATAGAAGCAAAGTGCTGAAATATCGCCAAAATTAAGCGTCCGCATAACTGCTTTTCTGAAGCAGGAATTAAGGCTGACTACCTTATTAACTATCACACAAAGACACTCTCCTAGGCAGCTGTTATGTCCATGAGAAAAATAACTCAAAAGTTATTAGGACCTAATAAAAATATTACAAAGGGTCAGCTTTTCAAAGGTGTTTGGAATCCTTTCTCTCCTTCCATGTTTTACGGTGAAGCATCCAGTTGTAAGAAGAGTTCTGGAAATTTTGAAAGTTCAACCCCTCCATTTTAATATGCCCTAATAAAGGTCTTAACTCTTCTGTGACTAATTGATGTGAAAGAAAAGCACCTTAAGTATGTGAAAAATGCCGTTCTTTAAAGTAACCACAGGGACCCAGACATAAGATATTTGCCCCTCACCCCCTTTGCTGGTCATGGCTGGTGTGAGAAAAGAAATTCTTCTGGTCAGGAAACTACAGAACACTGAAAAAAGTTTAAATATAATGGAAACAAAAGCAGGGCATTTCCTCCTACACCCCCAATTTCATAAATAACACATGCAATTTTAACTTTTTCCATTACGTGATGTAATGGCAATTTTGAAATTTTAAATTTAAATAAAGACTATTGGTCAGTGGAAGATCATCTGCTTTGCCTGCAAAAAGCTCCAGGTTAAATCCCTGGTATCTTCAGGTAAGCTTGGGAGAGACCCATAGAGACATAGAATCATAGAGAGACACTGCCAGGCAGGGTAGACAATGCTGAGCTGATTTACTATTAGACAGCTTCCTAAGTGGAAAAAGTTCATCATGGCTGCTCCCATATCCATATTCCCAACAAGAGCCCAAAAATGCAAGCAACTGTTTGGATCTAGTATTTTACACACACACACACACACACACACACACACACACAGGCTAATGCCCAGTTTATTAGGCTCAGTATGACTGCAGTTCTAGTTTCCTGGGAATAAGCTCCAGTGAACTCAGAAGGATTGTAAGGCTCAAGCTGCAATCTATACTGAGCTTTGACCTTCAGCCCTCTGAAACACAACTTTCAGCTTTTAGTTAGGAATACGAACAATCTTATAGGGTTACTATTTAAACGGCTAGTGTAAAGTAGGCACTCTATTAAAGAAAAGGTGAGTAATACCCAACCTCTGCATGACTATTTCCCTCATCCCTTAGCTTCACTAATCAGTCACAAACAAACTTGGAAGCCTCCTTATATCCCTATAACAACAATAATAATTTTATTATTTGTACCCCGCCCATCTGACTGGGCTCCCCCAACCACTCAGGGCAGCTTCCAGCATATATAAAACATTAAACAATAAAAACTTCCCCAAACAGGGCTGCCTTCAGATGTCTTCTAAAAGTCAGGTAGCTGTTTATTTCCTTGACATCTGGTGGGAGGGCGTTCCACAGGGTGGGTGCCGCTACTGAGAAGGCCCTCTGCCTGGTGCCCTGTAACCTCACTTCTCGCAGTGAGGGAACCACCAGAAGGCCCTCGGAGCTAGATAAAAGTGCCAAAGCAAGGTCAGTTTGTCAATTATCCTGGTGTACTAGCTCTGAAAAAGAAAAATGTACTTGAGCTGCAGTTCCACTACACTACTGGTTTCAGTTCAGGCATCATGGAAAACTGATTAAGGAGCCAAGAAGTCACCCTCTTAAGTCTGTAGCACAACTGGAGGTGGGGGCACTCAAGCTCATTTCTTTGTCATAGTGTCAGCACCACCAGAACTCACTGCTCATTTACCACCAACAAACCATCGCTTGATGGAGCAGCTGCATTACATCTGAATAGATTCTTTGTCTCATTGTCAAGCGATATTTTCTGGAGAGCACCAATGAAATATCCTATGACTAGGCAGCATTATTTTCCCTGTCATTTTCTCTTTCTGTATTGTTTCAGTGGGTTTGGATTTCCCCCCAGCCATTTTTATTGTGAACACTGATCAAAATGGCAGCTGTGTGGGCCGAAAAAATCAGAAAAGGCCCTTTCCATCACTACCGTGATTCACCAAATCACCAAGTGTAATTCAAAGTGATGTTGCTGTGCTGCAACTTTCCTGCAATTTGGGTTTACTACCACAAGAGGCCTTCTTTTGTATCTTAAAACAAAACATGCAAACTCAGCTCTCCCTCAAGCTGGATCCAGCTCTCTTACAAAGCACCAACTGCCTCTAACCGTGACCTTTATTTCTCCCAGAGAGATTATGGAGAATGAGAAATGACAAGATTACTTACACCTGTGCACTAAATGTAATCGCCCTTATAATCCCAAACACCAGGATGAGGACGGTTAAAATCAGAGAAACCAACGATACCTGCAAATAACAATAAAAGCATTAGCCGATTATGCCCATTAGTGGTCAAACATTTTAGAATTTCCAAAAGCATAATCTCGTTTGTCAAAGAAGAGAGAACGGACATTTCCATGGGTGACAGGCCAGTATAATTAAAAGACCTGCCATTCAAAATGTATATACAAAAGAAGGGGGAAAGCAGAACAGAAAGTATTTGAATTCCAGGCATAGGCAAACTCGGCCCTCCTGATGTTTTGGGAATATAACTCCCATCATCCCTAGCTAACAGGACCAGTGGTCAGGGATGATAGGAGCTGTAGTCCCAAAACATCTGGATGGCTGAGTTTGCCTATGCCTGACATAATGTGTCTGTTCAACCTTTTTCTCTTCCCATATGTTAAAACTCTTACCCCAGTTATCAACCAAGGTCAGCCTCCCCAACTTGGTTCCTCCCTCAGTTGCTTTTGACTACAATTCCCATCGTCCTTGGCAACTGACCATGCTGGTCAGGGCTGACGTGGCCCAAAACACCTCAGAGAGCACTAGGCTGAGGAAGTTTGATCTGACGCTATTTTCATTCTTAACCCAAATGGATAAGTTAATTTCTATACAGTAATGATTTACCTTCCCCAATTTTGATATATTTCGAAAGAGGGAAAGAGGAAGGGTGAAGATGATGGTGACACAGAGAATAATGACATGGCGACCAATGAGCAAATTGTCTTGATCGACTGCTTAAAAAAAAGAGAGAAATGTTAAGATGCATATTTCTGTAAGAAATGGATGTTAGGTTGCTCATTAAATGTGAAATGTACATGATTTTTTAATGTGTTGAATGTCTAAAAATCTGTTCATGAAATGAGGACAGGTAGGAGGGGAACAAAAAATTTGCGATTTTTGGAATATTTATATAGCACCAACAGTATTTAGGACAAAGCACCTCAAAATACTTGCCAGCAACATTTATGCTAAGGAGTTATATTACAAAAACTCAGTCTGCAATCCCGTGTCATTGGCGTATACCTCATTGAACTCAGTGAGGATTACTTTTAAGAAAACATTACAGGATTACACCAATACATAATGTACAGAATGCTTCAGTATTTCCCCAATTATTAATATTAATATTAAAAGGGAGGTATTATAAAGCACAAAGTTTACAAGCACAAGTCTTTTTTCAAAAAATTAAGCTGATAAACTTATAACATTTATACCCAGTATAATGAATGGTGTACTCCATATTAAATAATGCAAATAAATGTATGCATGTTTGTTTTGTATAAATGATCTCTACTGCCGTGTTAACTGAATGTTAAAATTCAGATTTTGTGCAAATAACAGTGTGGTTGCAGGTGCCATATGTGGTGGATGACAAGCAACAGACTGCAGTCATATATGCCCGGAGAAAGTGATTGCAGACTATGAAGAACACCATAAATGCTAGGCATATCTACCCAGAGGGAAGTCCTATTTAATTCAATGCTCCCAAGTAGGACTGCAGCCTTAGTTATGCAGGACTCCAAAGCTCCACCCCAATACAGTGGATCCTTCTGGGGACAACATATCCCTCCATTCATAAGGACTAGAAACATGCCTTTTGAAAATGAAACCTGAGATTCTCAGAATGGGTCAGGTTATATATCAGATACAGTGGTACCTCGGTTTAAGAACAGACCTGTTTATGAACGATTCGGTTTACGAACTGCACAAAACCGGAAATAGTATCGCGGTTTCCGAACTTTACCTCGGTCTAAGAACGGAAGCCGAACGGTGGAAGGGCACTGGCGGCAGGAGGCCTCATTAGGGAAAGCGCGCCTTGGTTTAAGAAAGGTTTCGGTTTAAGAATGGACTTCCGGAATGGATTAAGTTCATAAACCAAGGTACCACTGTACCAAAATCTAAACCCCCAAAATATACCAAGAAAATAAAAAAGTATGCATAACTTATGGTGAGTGTCACAGCCCTTTACAATATTCAATTCGTGGGCAAATATTTTGATCAACTTTCCTAGCAAGTTAAGTAAAAACATTTATTAATCAGGAAGAACAAAAACTGATCGACTCACCGCCAGGAATTCTTTGGAAAACTTTAGTCAAAGTGTCTCCTGTTATAATGTTGTAACTAATCATGGCTTTAAAAGAAGAAGCTACTTCGTTAATAACGCTTTGAAAAGATAAAATGAAACCTAAGCATACACTATGCGGAACAAAACTGTGTCAGTGAAAAACTATGCCTTTTCTGAACATGAAATGTATTTTATGTTCAATACTTTTAGGCAAATTTAACCACCAAACTTGATGGGGCTCATTTCAAAACAGGAAGCCTGCCTGCCTGCCTTCTTCCTTAAAACCAGCCTCTTCCTCCTTCTCACTGATGCCCTTGTACAGCTCAGCAAAGGAGGATGGGAGCAACAGTAGAATGTGTTGGCCTTGGCTGCCATTGGCTCTGGTCCCTTCTACTGTCACCTGCCCTATCAGACCCAAAGGGTCTGCCCCCACTGTGTCTGTATGAGGGGCTTCTACGGCCACACAAGGAGGCCTCACTTCTTGACCCCAAGTCTGGTGACCCCGCAACCCCTCTCATGCGAATTATCAGTGCATGGGGGCGCTGTTAAGAGCCCTTCTTTCACCATCCAGGGTTCCAACCAAACAAAGGGGAAGATTAAAGGCTAAGCCTTGACCAATTTAATTTATGTATTTCATTTATGTTAAGTTGTGGGTGAACATATCAGACGACACAGCGATTCTTCAAACAGCTCTTGTTTATTCAGAGGCCAGAACAGAACTGAGCTGAAGGGCTCAGTCAGCCTGCTTATATAGAGCTCCAGTACCACGTTACTGTAACAACTTTCTAAAACTATCCAATCACTGAACGTCACTTTCGATCCTTCATTTGCATAACTATCTACAGTATCCCCATCTGGCCCCCTGCTGGCCCAGTACATAACTTCAGTACATAACAATTTACATCCCACTTTTTCCTTCAAGGAACTCAAGGTGGTGTACATGGGGTGTACATGGTTCTCTCCTTCCTCATTTAATCCCTACAACAACCCTGTGAGGTAGGTTAAGCTAAGAGACAGTGACTTGACCTAAAGTCACTCAGTGAGAGCTTCATGGCCAAGTGGAGATTTGAACCCTGGTTTCCCAGGTCCTAGTCCAACACCCTAACCACTACACCACAGGGGCTTCCAGTCTTCTTCTTTTATAGACTGCAAAAAGGCATTGTTCTTTAATGCATCTGCAAGGGGACCTTACCAATGAAAGGGTATAAGAACTGGAGAGCTGAGAGAATTAGGTACCCTACAAAACCAAATGCTTTATTGACCAGAGCCTGGTAGCTGTTGGTTCCAGACAGGTTCCCTCCTTTAATCAACAGGATAATAGAATAATCTGTTGAGGAGAACAAGAAGCATTCTATTAAAAACAATCTCTTTGGGATCAATTTCTCATGCATTATTCTCTTGATTTTTTATTTTTAAATCAGACTGAAAGAAGTCACCATGGAGAATACCTGGGAACACAGAATAACAGGGAAAAGGAGATCTTACACAAAACCTGCGGGAAACCAAAGAAAAATGTCTTGGTAACACAACTACATCTCCAGTGTCCGTTAGGGGAGGCATTGCTAGAGATCTCTTCTGCAATTATTTCCAGAGAGCTGACCTATTTATTTTGTAGGTCAGGCAAGGAGAGCTGCCTTTGATCCCTGTTACTGCCAGGCCAGTGGATCATTCTTTCAATCCACATGTGCCCTCAAAGGCGGCATTGGGTGGTGTCAATTAGCATTCCATATCCATCTCCAGAGTCACAGGCTCCTTCCAGTGCTGTTAACTAGCAGCCCAGTTCGTGCCCATGTAAACAGCAGGATATAGGAGCAAATGGGCTGCCCTGAGGTCTGCTAGCATGGCTAGGGTACAAGCTTTAGTACAAATTATTTTAAAAACGATTCTCTCCCACCCCATTTTATCCTCACAACAACTCTGTGAGGTTGAGAGACATTTAATGGCCCCCGATTGCTCAGTGAGTAGGGATTTGAACATGGGTCTCCCTGACTCTAATTTGCCACTGCACCTAGAAAGAGACACATATAGTTTTAAACTTTGTTCACAAGGATTAATAAGGGAATATAATAAGTCAGCAAAGCACATGGAACTGATGTGTAATAGACTGGCATTTTCTGTTACAATGGGTAGAATAGAGATTTTTTTTCACAAATGCAAGATTAGTTGCACACTATGAATTGCATTGTGTCCTTAACTGATTCTCTACAACAGAGATTCTGTGGTTTAACTGCTCTCTACAAACCAGAACTGCAAACCACAGTTTGATCCTATTTGCAATCCTAGTTCACAGGGGAAACTATGCTTTAGAGTGGGGTTTCCCAAACTTGGGTCTCCAGCTGCTTTTGAACTACAATTCCCATCATCCCTGACCACTGGTCCTGCTAGCTATGGATGTTGGGCGTTATAGCCCCAAAACAGCTAGAGGCCCCCAGTTTCGGAAACCCTGGTTGTGTCCTCTGCACTAGGCTATGTGAAAGGTGGATGGGAATGCTTGCAATCATCTCTTGTTCCTGTTCCAGCAAGCCATTGTTCCATTCACTAGGAAGATCCTCCCGAGCCCTGCCTTCTTTTGTGGTATCCTAATATCGCATAGGAAAGGACATCCAATGCAGCACAGTGCTCTACTTTTAAAAATCACCTCAGAAGATTAAGCATTTTTCCTGTACACTTGAGTAAAGGTAAAGGACCCCTGGATGGTTAAGTCCAGTCAAAGGCGACTATGGAGTTGCAGCGCTCATCTCGCTTTCAGGCTGAGGGAGCTGGTGTTTGTCCAAAGACAGCTTTCCGGGTCATGCGGCTAGCATGACTAAACCACTTCTGGCACAATGGAACACCGTAACAGAAACCAGAGTGCACGGAAATGCCGTTTACCTTCCTGCCACAGCAGTACCTATTTATCTACTTGCACTGGTGTGCTTTCAAACTGCGAGGTTGGCAGGAGCTGGGACAGAGTAATGGAAGCTCACTCCGTTGCAGGGATTTGAACTGCTGACCTTCTGATCGGCAAGCCCATGAGGCTCAGTGGTTTAGACCACCAGCGCCACCTGCGTCCCAGTGTGACACTTGAGTAACAATGCATGGAGAGACCGTGGGGCTCTATAGGCCCTGCCCTACTGTTGTGTCCCCTGACTGCCCCACCCATATGCTGTCAACACACTGGGGAAGATATGAAGGGCAGAAAGCTACCTAATGCATACAGTCTGTTCCTGTGAGCTGAAAGCTGGATTCCACAGAAATGGAGCCCATAGGGCAAGCCCACATGCACCCAAAATTTCCCCTTCAGACCTTTCCCCAATGTGTGGACAGTGGGGGGGGGGGCAGAGCATGTTGGGGACACCACAGAGGGGCTCTCTCTCCAAGCAAAGTTGGTCGCGTGGAGAGAAGAATGCCTGATTTTGGACTTCTAGTATCAATGAAGACATTTTGCACATTCTGCCCATCTTAATTCTTGGACCTCTCTCTCTACTGAATGACAGCAGCCGCTTTTTAGGCAATACCTGTGATATAAGCAACGGCCAACAACAGCAATATTCCCAATGGAAATCCAGCTTGCTTCAGAGAATAGGGCAGGCCTGTGAAAACGATGCAAACAAACAAATTAGATTGGAGGTCCCCCTACAAGTTCTTGCCACTTATTGATGCTTCCAGCTCCTCTCCCATCTTCCCAGGGGCTACTTAAGATCTGAGGAAGCCCAAGCCACAGGAAGCTCATGCCATCAGCTCCTGAATCTGGAGGGAAGTGGCTGCGAGTTCCTATCTGTACGCCCATATATTTGTAAGGTCCCAGGAAGCTGTAGCATGGCTTACTGTGTCATGTAAAGGAAGCCATTGACAAAGTCAAATTTTAAATATATAAACAGCCCATTGGGATCCCTGATCTTGATCAACATTAATCTGCACCACTGTAATAAAATTACAACTCCCAAAAATATGATTGATAGTAATTAACTAGAATGAATAATAAACTGACTTATTTACCTATCATACCAGATCCTATGATGGAGTTGATGACATTAAAAGCAGCTGATGAGAGGTTGCTAGTTCCTCCTTTGTTTCTCGGTTTACAAACGAGGGTTGTTGTTTCATCCATTTCCTCCTATTTCAATAAAGTAGCATTGATGTCAGTCTAAAATATATTCACTTAAAAAAAACCAAACCACTACAATTTTTTTCATCATTTAACAAAACTAAAAATACAATGATTTAGTTTTGGAAGGGCTTCCCTTCCTCCCTAAAACAAACTCATATCAAGTGACATGGAAAATCTTGGCAGTCATAGAATCATAGAGTTGGAAGGAACCTTGAAGATCATATCATCCAACCATCTGCAGTGCAGCAATATGCATTGCGGGTGGCGCTGTGGTGTAAACCACTGAGCCTCTTGGGCTTGCTGATCAGAAGGTCGGCGGTTCGAATCCCCACAACAGGGTTGCTCTCCCGTTGCTCTGTCCCAGCTCCTGCCAACCTAGCAGTTCGAAAGCATGCCAGAGCAAATAGATAAACAGGTACTGCTGTGGCAGGAAGGTAAATGGCGCTTCCATGGGCTCTGGCAGTCGTCACAGTCCTCCATGCACCAGTAGTGATTTAGTCATGCTGGCCACATGACCCGGAACACTTTCTGTGGACAAATGCCAGCTCCCTTGGCCTGAAAGCGAGATGAGCGCTGCAACCCCATAGTCGCCTTTGACTGGACTTAACCGTCCAGGGGTCCTTTACCTTGCAGCTGTCCCATACAGGGATCGAACCTGCAACCTTGATGTTATCAGCACCAAGCTCTAACCAACTGAGCTATCCAGGCTGACATTTTGTATGCATCAGAATAAGGACTAGATTTTGAAAGTATATTGGTTTTGAAGTGTTTTTGAAAATTTGGGCACAAATGTAAGTTAGTTATTTCCTGCCCTTTACCCTAAGATCCTAGGGCAGGTACTTTTAAACCTTTAATTGCTTTAACGATTCAATCCTAAACACACTTACTAGCCCCATCAGATGGTAGTTCGACTAATCAGTGGCGTAGCGTGGGTTGTCAGCACCCGGGGCAAGTAATTTGCGCCCCCTAACCTGTGGATTTGCGCCCCCTAACCCGTGGATTTGCGCCCCTAACCCTAACCCCCAGATGTTGCGCCCGGTGCGGCCGGCCCCCCCTGCACCCCCCACGCTACGCCACTGCGACTAATTTCTTCTGAGTAAACTCGCACAGGATTGTGCTGTAAGTCCAATGTGCTTCACAGGGTGGTATATCTGAACAGCAAAGGGCGTCCTTTAAAATCTAAGGAGAGCTGGGCACCCACCACCTGATCACCAGTTATCAGAAACATTTTGTTATCACAATACCCCTTCTCCCCATGCAGGCCATATCTGTGTAACATTATATAACTATACATTGTGTTTTATCTTAGTTACGGGTTGGAGGGTGGCCGCTGTCACACACTGACAGTTTCTATGAGCCACAGGTGAGACCTGAGTGCAGGGTGGGGGCCAAAGGTGGGCAAACTACCCCAGACATGTCCCCCACCAAAGGTACTACCCCTCCCTTATCACCCCAGGAAAGGACTTTGACTAGGTGGCTAAACCAGGTGAAGGTAGCCAATGGGTCTCAAACCCTCGAGGAGTTACAGACTTTTTTGGCATGCAAAGACAGGCTCCGGTGGATTGAGCGGACAAGTTATGGCTAGCTCAGATGGTTAGAGTGCGGCGTTGATCATGCCAAAGTCACGGGTTCGATGCCCATGCTATTCTTCCATGGCAGGGGGTTGGATCAACTCTTCCAACTCTTACGATTCTATGAAATAAGCGAGGTTGTGTTTCTTAAAGAGAAAGGAGGAGTTTGCTTTCCTAGCCCAGGGAACAGTTGAAAGGCGAGGAGAAATTAAGAAAACTTCCTAGGATCCCAAGAAGACGCGCGGCTTACCGGGTGGGCAGGGCTGGTGGCGGGCGACGGGGGGCGCTGGGCGAGCTCTTCCATGGCGGCTCGCTCGCCCTGTCCGGCTTCCCTCGGAGGCCCCTCTCCGGATCCCGCCTGCAGCGCTCATGAACGGAGCGAGGCGGCGGGACAGGGGCTGCTGGGGACGCCGAGGGAGAAGAGCGCGCCGGCTCCCGGGCTCCGGATCGGGACGCGGCAGCACGTGCGCGCCTGGGAATGGCCAGGCCTCCCGCGGGCGGAGGGAGCAGCGTGATCTCCGCTCCCAGGAGCGCCAGTTGGAAGGGAGCCCGAAAAGTGGGGGGCGGGGGGAATGGGGAGTGTCGGAAGGCCAGCGGAGATCCAGGAGGGCTGCTCGGCAGTCCGCCCATTTTATATCAGAATTGTTGAGTTGGAAAGGGACTCACAGGGTCATCATGGGCGTAGCTGGGATTGGGCCGGGGAGCGCAGGGGCGGCAGCTGCCCCTCTAAATCAAGCAAATAAATAAAAATATTTAAACTAGCCAATTGCATCGCAAGTAATTAGGTATTGTCTCCCCCCCCAAAAAAAATTAAGCCCCCCCCCAATAAATGCTGACTATGCCCACGGAGAGTAGAGTTCATACAGCCATCATGGCTAGCGGCCATTCGTAGCCTAATCCCCGCCAAGAAATTCTCCAAATTAAGAACCTTGGGTCCCTTTACCTTTTTATCTTGGTGGCTATGGCCGCATTTGAGGAAGTGCTTCCCATATTTTAGCTATGCACTTCGCGAAGAAGAAAGTCTCGTGTCTTCCTTGCAACAAAACACGATCAGAACGGAATGGTTCGAACAAAACTGAGGTCAAAACTGAGAAGTAAAGACAAATGGGCCACCTGTCCAGTCTTTCGCTGGTAGGAGATGCTATCATTGGGAATGCTTGATAGATAGGTAGCTGCCAAGCCTGATGATGAAACATTGGATCCTGGACCTGCAAAAACTGAACAAAACTGAAAAAGCCTTAACTTGTTCCCACAGCAACTCCCCTCTCCATAGGGTAGTTGGTGGTGGTTCTTTTTCTTTACTTCTTCTGTTATTTTTTTTTAAAAGTGATTGTTTCATCTCTCTTTTTTTTGTTACAAATATGTATATGTACCTATCTTATTATGGGAGATTATATAAATAAGATTTCAAAACAAAACAAAACTAGATTGAAAAGCCAGGTGTAAAAAAAAGGAATACACACAAAGTCCTGGTTATTTTTGAATGCTCCTAGACTACCTATATAGGCATGAAGAACTGGTAGCAGCAACCAGAGATTTACTTCACAGTGAATGTTGATTGGCCTTGTTTTTCATATGAGTAGTCAATATCACCAGTGAGCCGCTCTGATATTTTGACGGGCATACGATATCCAGCCCAGCCTCTGGTTTCTGACAGTTACCAACAGATTGTGAAATTAAAGATCACAACACCTTCCTGTTTACTATCTGAAATAGAAAATGCAGTGAAATTCTGAAGCTGAGGCTGCCTCTTTTGTACACGAGGCACGTGATCGTTTTATACTTCCCAAAGTACCATTTGATTTTGGCATGGCAGTTTTCATCAGATACCAGGTAACCCTCAGGAACCTTTTAACAAGTGACTGGATTTCCCATCCAATACTTACCTGTCGTTTTTAGTGAGTCACCAAATGCAGGAAAAATCATAGAAAGAACCTCCATGAGCTTAGCAAACAAATGTGTTTTGTTATCCTTACAAAAGGTCTGTTTTCTTTGTTCAATGCCTTCTTAACAAAGAGGTGTGTGCAAACAAGGTAAAGCAGAGTTTAGAGGCAATTCCTTAAAAACAATTTAATTGTTTCTGGTTCACTGAGTCTGTCCATATATTTCATCATCTCTTCTCTCTTCACTCTCATTGTGTTCGTTTGTTCTTGTTTTGTTCTCTCTGATCACCTACAATGTTATTTTGGGGACTTTGAAATAGGTATAAAATATATTCATGCTACTGTCTCTAAAATATACATTGTTACTGTCTGTAATTGTTTGATTGGGCTGTAGATTCGTAGACCTCGTGAGGGGGTTGTTGGCGTTAAGTATGGTAAAGCCACATTGACCCAACCCTTGTTTCCAATAGTTGTAAAAAAACATGGACGAGTTGAGGAGGTGGTCTATTTCAAAAGGTCAATTTATTACTAAATGTGTACAAAAATCTCCTCTGCTGGGGAGAGGGCACAGGCCAGACAGCCTTTTTTTAGCCCACCTCTATTGGTGCTCTCTACTCGATAAAGGAGATTATGGGGACTCCCTGAATGCTCAGCTGAATTGAATTCTGAAGCCTAGGAAAAAAGCCCCTTGACCTGGTAGGGAATACCCCAATTGCCTTGCTAAATATGGGCTGTCCATATATCCCAGGAACCTAATAATCAGACACCCCCGATCAGTTCCATTCAAAGCTACACGCTCAGAAGTATTCTGTACTGTGTGTGACCAGTCAGCTGATGGGCAGCTTATGCCTCTTCCCCCTCTCTCCCTCACTGCAACTGCATAGATTTCCCACTGTTATTATACATGGCTGGCTTATGATAGACCGCAGAGGTCAAAATGGGATCACTTCACACGAAATTGGTGGCTTTGAAGCAGTGCAAAACAATAATAATTTTTAAAAACCCCAAAGGCTTTCGTGAACCATTCCCCCAAGGTGTGATGGATCTCGTTGCTGCAACTGAAGAACAGCATTCCGTCTTGTCATAAAGATTTTAATTTCAAATCTGAGATCTGTGTGGTTCGCAATGGTCCACAGTACTGCAATTATTTCGTGCTTTGTGTGTGGGGAGGGGGCATCGAGTCAAGCATGGGTGGGCTCTTCAACATGAAGCTCATGCCAAAGAACAAAATGAAATCACTGACTGACTGACTGACTGAAAATGAAATCTAGCAGTTCTCCTTTCTTCAGGTTAAAAGAAGGCTAATCCTTTAAAGTTATTTTGATCTCTTTGTATGCTGATCTCTTTTTAGTAGAAAGAAGAAGAAAAAGAAGAAACTAAATAGTTGAAAAGTGTAGTAATAATAATAATAACAACAACAACAATGAATGCTTTCTGGTAATTTGATAAAGCTGGTGGGTACTGCCAGAATATAACTTTTTGTATACTTTTTACTTTGGATGGTTCCATTTTCTCAATATAATTCTTACCATGGATCTTTGCATCCAGTGCTATTTTTCTAGGAAAAGGGGTGCCGGAACTGAGTTCCAGAGAGTTTCGTCTGAAAAAAAGCCCTGTCTTATGAGGGTGAATGGGATGGTTTTGCGGAATACTTAAAAAAAATACAATACTAAACCCAATCTGCAAGTGGAGTAATTCTATAAACAACAGTTAAACACAACAAAGAATTACAACAGGGGTGAGCAAACTTTTTCAGCAGGGGGCCGATCCACCGTCCCTCAGACCTTGTGGTGGGGCGGACTATATTTTTTTTGGGGGGGGGGGGAAATGAACAAATTCCTATGCCCACAAATAACCCAGAGATTCATTTTAAATAAAAGCACACATTGTACTCATGTAAAAACACCAAGCAAGCCCCACAAATAACCCAGAGATGCATTTTTAATAAAAGGACACATTGTACTCATGTAAAAACACACTGATTCCCGGACGGTCCGCGGGCTCGAATGAGAAGGCAATTGGGCCGCATCTGGCCCCTGGGCCTTAGGTTGCCTACCCCTGAATTACAATGAGAAAACTAGGGAGGGGTTATATACTGATATGCAGCATAAGCTAGGTTTGTTAAGAATGCCATGGAAGGTAAAGGTTGGGAAGTATCCACAAAATCTTTGTATGATGGTGAATTGTGTGTAAATAGAAAAAATGGGAAATACATATGAGAAGACTTACAAATTTAATCCACAATGTTCTGAAAAGCCTGACAACATCAGGGGCTTCATGTACATTCTCTGGGATTTCATGTCCACCCAGACAATGGCACCTTCTTAGGTTTTGGTTCCCAGTATGGGACAGAGAACATTTGCCAGGGCTTGATAAGATGAGGCCCAGTGAATAGATCATTGAGTCCCTATCCCAGGCTGCCTTCTATGTGCTCTCAGTGGGTGTAGTCATGCAAACCGTAACTAGGCGAATTTGACAAGATGGACCCTTGTCAAAACACAAATTAATTTAAAACCCCACTTCGTGACTCAGTTCTTTCTTGAATTCTCCCACATGTTGACTATGATCACAGAATGCTTCCTTATATAAGCTTGGGTTTTGTCTGTCTAGGCCAGTATTGCCTACTCTGACTGGCCAGTGGCTGTCCAAGGTCTCAGGCAGAGGCCTGTCTAATCAAACACTACTTGAGATCCTCATAGCTGGTGATTTGGGGGGTGGGGGTGGACCTGGTATCTTTTGCCTGTAGAAAGAACACAAACTTCTGAAACAACCTTTTTTAAGCATTAGGTATTTAAAATAAAATTTAAAAATCTGAAGAACGGCTTCCAAAGCTGCAAGGGCCTCTGGGTCACAAACCCAGCATAGGAAAATTCCACTTCTTCAGGTAGAAAACTGTGGCAACCTTTGCATCAGACAGTCACCCTCTGTGAAATGCCACAGGCTCCAAAAGATCCCTGTGTTTTGTTTCTAAGCTACCACTTGCTGCATTAGTCATTTCTGCCAGCTGCCCACAATATCGATATTTTTATTTCTTGTTATGTATTCTCCCCCCACCCCACGTTGTCTCCATTTCTAAGGATGGGAGAGAAACACAGTCCTGCAACCCACACAGCCATCCTAAATATTGTGCTTTTCTGATTATATCCTTTCTATTTTATAACGTTTTGCCTGCATGTATAATGCTTTTATCTGTTCTTATTTTGAGCATCCAGATTTGGGGGGTGGGGGGGGGGGAGGGGGAAGGTGGTTTGTTGTGGCTGAAGCACGAGAAAGCTTCAGAAATTCAGAGATGTAATTCATGTAACAAATCCAATTTGTACAGGACACAGCTTATTTAAATGAGCAGAACCTCATTTAAGGGGAAGAGAGAACGTTTTGATCCACTTGTACTCGGGAGCAGCTAGACTGTGTGTCCTAAAGACAAAATTATCTGGCCAAGTTGTCCTGGAGTGTTGTCACAGGCGAAAGAACACCCAAGTCACATTGTGGTTTGTGCCTCCAAGTCTCCTGGAAACCATTTCCCAACCTGTCTCTTGCACTGCAGTCCGC